TTTTTTTTTTTTTTATTTAGGGGGAGGAAGAAAAATGTCACAGCGAGCAAAGTTCACGTGTTAACCTGGAAAGGATCCAGGCTCGGCACTAGAGCAGGAGCAGCTGCACACACCTGTGCAGGCAGGAAGCTCTCCCTGTTCCAGCTCTGTCGCTGACCAGGCGGCTGAGGGGCTTCATGTCCCAAACACGCCTGGAGAAGTGTCCAGCTTGTTCACCACAATGTCCCCAAAGCCTGCTGGCAAACTTCACTGATGAGAGCTACTAATTAATCCACCCGCTGCTCCTCCCTCGTCCGAGTTACTGCCTTCAGCTCATGATCGAACTGGTTTTACTACCGTGAAAAGCCTATTACTCACAATAGAGCCGGTTATAAAACTGAGATAGCGATAAACGAAATAAAACAAGGAACTTCAGTCCTTAAAAAGCTTCTCAACCATGAAGGAACAAAAATCTTCCAAAATGAGCAGAAGGAAGAACACCAAATCATCACTTTCAGCTTATCAACACAACAGGTGTCTGGAAGTGACACAGTGAGTGAACAGAGCTACTCAAAATAAATAAATAAACAAAAATAAACAAATTGTCAAAAAAGATGCTAAAAAAAAAAAAGTTAAGATTCACTGGCCAGACAAAGAGGGAGATCTGGGCAACTTCCTGAAGAAGGCGAGTCCTGGACTCTTGATCTTTGCTTTCAGAGAACTGTTCCTGTATATTATACATATAGAAATCTACAAACAGGAACAAAGCCCAACCCAAATCCAAAAAGCCTTCCACGTTCCACATGCCTTAGCATATCCAAAAACTCACACATGCCAACTAACAGCATTATTGCACTGCTCAAACCCGCACTGCAGGTGAATGAACGTGTGCACATTTTACACTGTGATGGATTTTAGAACGGAAAAGCCACTCTCAAAGAAAACAATAAAAGTCTGCTAGGTTTCCACTGCTAATTCCTTTCAGGAATTTATGAAGTTGTTTATTTTAAATTGCCCATACAGGAAGAAGCAGAAAAATGGCAATAACAATGTCAGAAACAAGAACTCTAATTCAAATATTCCAACCCCAGTCAGAACGGATATTCACACAGTTCAAACAGGAATCTCAAACCAGGTTTTGTTGAAAACACTGGAAATGTACACACTCCAAAACCCAGCACTGCAATACAGGCAGAAAATCTTTAAAAAGCTCTAGTAATGAAAAGTGAATTCAAGGAAATGAGTTTCACAAATATGCAGTGTAATTGCTCGTACTTTTTTTTTTTTTTAACCTACTTGTTTTCAGCTATAAAGCTCTGCTTTTCAGGACCGCTCTGGACAGCCCACCCATTGATTTGCCTCCCTGCCTTTACATCTCTTCCACTCCCCATCCAATGCAGTGACACTGCCACACTAATACTTGAGTATGTTTTGGAGGCTTTATGGGATTCCCCTCAGCTGAGTCTGTCTATTCTCCTTCTTTTAAAGCAAAATTATGCAAGCGGAAGTCAGCACCAAGAACTGCACCTTCTGGGACAGACTGTCTCAGACCTCTGGTTAACCGGTCAAGTGATGAGCTCATGGAAAATGTCCAGGTCCCAGCTGGCACTGGCAACCAGGCACCACCAAGCTCTCACCCTTCTTGAGGATGTCATCATCAATAGCAAAATGCTTGGGTAGAATCCAATAAAATCCAACCAGAGAGTTACCAGAAGATGATACAAAGTACCAAGCATCAGCATTACATCAGTATCCACAAGAAGCGTCCATACATTCCCTTCTGCAGTGGAGTATTTGAAAGTTGAATAATGCTTACCTCACCGACCCTGTACAATAAAATAACCCATTTAAAAACACAGCCTCAGCTTCCTTTGCTGCAATTCTGACAGCAAAGACCCAATTGCTACCACTACATGAAACGTAAACCTGCTACCACCGTGTAAAATTACTTTGCGGTGTTTTGAAGATTTGAGGGGAAAAAAAAAAAGACAATCAAAAAGAAAGGAAGACATAATCAAAAAGCTATTTCCTGCTTTAACAACTGCAACTGAAGTTGACAGACTCAGTCATACTTCAAACAGAAGAGACACGTTTGTCAAAGCACGCAAAAGTCAAAGCATGAGGAGTGGTTTAAAATGTCAGTAAATCCAGTGTATGAGCAGAGCCCAGCAGGAGGGAGCAGAAGGGACTGACCTGCTTTAGCAGTCGTGATACAGTCTGAATCTGGGGCATCCAACATATCCAGGCAGCATGGAGCGATAATCCTCCTGTCGGCATTTTGCTCGTCCTTCAAAAAGTCAAGAGCCAACCTCGTGCTGCCTGACAGCCAAGGCCAGTTGCAGCTGGCACCAAGGCAACAAGCTCCTTTCCTGCCCTCAGACAGGATGGAGAAGAGACTAACAAAGCTAGCAAAACCAAACTAGCTGGAATTAGAGCCTCCCCCCAATTCTCCTGCAGTTGATGGAAACCAAAGGCTTTTATTTATTTCAAATAAAAACTTAATTTATCTTCTGTAATAACATCTAGCATTCAAAACAAAGACATGTCCATCTGCACCCAGTTTAGTCTGTCATATTTATTATGTTTTTAAATATTTTACACATGAAGGCAAATCTAGTGGATAACACACACGCTTTCAGCTTCCAATGTTAATCTTTCTCAGATAAGCACAGATTAGAATTTACCATCCAAATTCTGCATGAAGAGGTTATATGCTGGCCTCAGTTCAATTCTTAGCACCAAAATACCACCACAAATTTAACCATGCAATGGATTCAGCCCAGATCCCCATTTAATGCATGAAATTACACTCATAACAGGAGAATAAGATTATCCTTTCAGGAAGGAATAAATATTTAAGTACAGTCCCAGAATTTTGCAATCAAACTTGTAAAACTTGGTGCAACCCTTAGTTCTGCCCATAGCAATGTGCCTTCTCTGGTTACATTTCTGCTGACCTGGGAGATCTACCCCATACACCCAAGGTTCCCCCCTCAGTCCTCGTGGCCTGGTTGTCCTTCCAGCTCTTTCCTTCTCACTATGCTCTTCAGACCTTTACCCTCCTTTCCCTTTCATGTGGGTCATGAGAAGTTGGCAATATTTGTCCCTCTTCAGCATTCTTATTGTTATCACCCCTCCTAGTTGTGGTGGTGGTGGTAAGCTACTGGGCACTGTAGCACACAAGTAAATCCATTTCTCAAGGGACCTTCCTCATTCACAAGGCCAAAGTACAATCCTGCTTCTGCTTGTTTCCACTTCCCTCCTGCATTTCACCCACACCTTGAGGGTGTTAACATCACACCAGGCCAAGCTGGGGCATTTGAGTTTAATTGGTGAGGCTTGGTACTTGCAGCAGTCTGGTCATAGTAGCATTTCACAGATCCTGCAGTATGATCCAACAACCTACTACAGCAACAAATGAGAACAGTTCTGGATGAGACAGAAAAAAAACCCCACTTTTCTGCAACTTTCTTCCCAGAAACAGTCTCTCAAACTATCTCTACCTGTAAATTAACTTTTAAGAAACTATAATCAAACTGACCTTGAAGAAAACCCATGACTTTCACTGCCCTAACAATTAATGCTTTCCCATCATCTCATCACTGCACAACAGTTTTCCACTCTAAACAGACCATCTTAGAAGAAAAAATTCCCAGGATCAGCCTCATAACTGCACTCAGCTCCAGCACTAAAAAGGAAAGTTACCCCTATTGTTGTGAAACAAAAGTGATAATTTTCTTCTGCATAACTTCCTTTCCACTTCTCCAAACCCCCACGTCTTTTAGAAAACTATCTGTCCCCTGTAATTCAGGATATCCAACCATGCCATGCACATACTGAACAGCCGTAGGGTTAAAAATACCTGCAGCTGAGATGCCAACACAGAAATCATTTTAAACAAAATTTATAAAAGCCACAGCTGCAGAAGGGCAAGAAAACACCCAACAAGTTTGGTAGTTAACATGGGAATGCATCACATCCAACCCCTCTTTGCTGTTCAGCAGAAAGACAGTGTTGATGACACAAGTACCAGAGAAGAGCCACGTCTGAGGCTTTCTTCCTGTACAGCACTTGAGTGCTAATGAACCTCATCAACAGAGTAACCACCAAAACACCACTTAGGGCCAAATACTATTTACACAGGACTCAAAATCCAAAACGGACTTTGAACTAAACTACTAAAAATTTGAAAATATTAGACAAATAAAAGGCATCCATACAAACTTGTCCTTGGTAGAAGACCATCTCTGAGAATAACTGGATTATTCCCATGAGTTTTTAAAGGAAAATACTTAAAACTCTCTGCAGTAGATCAAATATAAGTAATTTTGCTTTTTCAGTAAGATGAACAGAAAAACTGTAAAATTTAAAGTAAATATGTGTAAAGTGTTTATAGCACTAGATAACCTTCCCCTCAGGTTTAACAATATGAAAGTACCACAGTAAGATACATTACATAGTTCTGGTTTGCAAAGAATTAATTTCACTTCAAAAGATGCAAGAATATGTAAATTCACAGAAGTGTTACCAAGGAAGCCTTGCAAGTTACTAAAAATGTAATGAAAAAGAAGCAAAGCACAATGTCTCCAACACTTGCATAGTTTAGACAGAAAAATATCTCCAGCTCAGCAGACTCTGAACTTCCCCACTTTCCCAACTCTCTCATGACTTAATGTCTTCTGTAGGGGTAGGTTTAGGAGTTTTCATGGTCTTGTTTTTTTTAAATCAGTTCATCTCACTAAAGCAGATAACCATGGCTCCAGACAACTTAGTGCACTGCAGAATATACAGTATAAGGGTACAAACCAAAAGAAATGCTAAAGTGAACAAGAACAGACAGCAGAACTCAAACAAAAAAATTTTCAAAAGCATATTAAAAAAATGTCATCACCTAAAAGGTCTTCGCAAAGAAAAAAAAAATCATCCTGTTACAAATACAAGTGATGTGCATTCTAACCATTTCAGTAATAATGAGCCTGATACACGATCACAGTAAGACCCAGCAAATGCAGAGAACTCACCTTCACAAAATTGTCAGGGAACATGCCCCTTTTGCCATTTAACTCCCCTTCTAACCATCCTTCTTCTTCCAGTTTTTTCACATTCCTGATGATTTCCCCAGCTCGGATCGTTAACTCATCATCATGCACTGCATCATAGTCATATTCCACGATATAGTCCACTAAAAAAAGAAAAAAACCCACAATGAATACAACCCAGTCTTGGACATGCAACGTGAAAGCCACACGTGCAAAAGGCAGACCTAACCACAAATGCTAAGAATAAGTGTTTTTCCCTTACAGGAATGCTCATTTGTGAACTGTAACATTCCCAACTCTTTCAGAAGGGGGGGAGGAAAACTGGACAGTTGCCTATTAGAGTAAAGTAAATGCAGGAATATGACACCAGGTCATATTTTGGTGGTGGTGGGTAGGTTTTTGCTCATGTGTGGTGGAAGAAATTACTGGCAGTAGTTTCTTTCCCCCCCACCAAGTCCCAGCTGGAGATTTACCAATAATGAATCACTGCTCACAGGGCAAGTGCTTGTTACTCAGTGCACATTTGGGGCCGAGGAAGAAGGAAGGTTCAAACACTGCATGTACAGTATGTACATATGATGCTTTGCTAATTCTCATACCTGAACCTGCTGCTCTGTCTGCAAAAACTGATTGCTGCACACACAGTGATTTTGCAGGTTTGATCCAAGAAATGTAATACAGCCAGAAGGTGTGTGATTGACAATGTCACACAACTTAGACTGCACAGACAAAGGCACCCTCCTTCAGAGTCATCCGGTTTATAAGTAGAATAAGCAAGTGAGCTTTAATTTTGATACAATTAATTTACTCAGAGGAGCATAGCAATGTATTTACATATTTGTCCACCTGTTGCACAAGATCCACGCATTGCTCACTGACAGCTTAAGGCTCTTTTGGCAATAAAGACTCATTTGTTCATCAAGAAATTCTGTTCATGCCACAAATTTCCACAAACCTGCAGCAGTCAAATAATCTTCCCTCACTCAAATTCAGTCAGATATCCAGGCACTGCCAAATGTTAACACTGTTCTCACTGAAACCTCCTCCTCTGCAGATCACAAGGAACACGCACAATGACAGGAGCACAACAGGGTTAAAAGACAGAAATCCAGAAGGGTCTTAGAAGTTTGGGGGTTTTTTTCCCCTAGTTACTCTATTCTATCAGTGCATAATAATATCCAACAATTAATTCAAAAATTAAGGAATCAAACAGGAAGAAGTATCATTTCCTTGGTATTGAACTTACAGCTGCATTAAACCAATGTATAATTCTGATCTGTGGGCAATTTTGATCAAAAGTGCAGCTGCAGTGATGTTGCAATGAAGCCTTTTTTCCTCTGCTGCTTATAGATGAAGTCCGAAAACCCTTAGTGAAAAACAGAACTACATGATGGTGCTGTGAATGCAAGAGAAGCTTGAATAATCTGTCTGGCAAAGTATTTTCTGAATATACCCATTAACAAAGGAATCAGTCAAATATAAAGATGAAGATTTAATTTTGCTTTTTTTCCTTTAAGGACAAATTTATCTTCTTCCTTATGAATAGAAGGCAGCACCAGAGTTACTTACTCATGATACATACTCTGAAACTCCTGGCATGCACTTTTTTATTTTTGCCAAATGTATTCACTAAACTTGTTTCAAAGGATCATATTCTCCCCTTACTCCCTGCAGCAAGTAGAGTAGTTTTGTCTTGTTTCTGCATTGAGTTGTCTTTTGAGTGGCTGACATGAAATATTGCCAAATATATAGGAAATTCTGGCAGCCACAGATCATAAAGACAACAGCCATTCATCACCTATAGTCTGGAAATAAAAATGTCATCTTCCAACCAACTCGACCCAGCCATTTTGGAAACCTCCAAATGCAGAGAAACGTAAGAAATGTCCATGTCACATATTTCTCTCATGATATATTCTGTTTTAAAGCACATTAGCAGGTACCATATTTCAATATACACACTACAGGACAGCTCTATAAAGTTAAACATGGAAAATGGATCCAGAATAGAGTGTCAGTCAGGGTAAATGCTCTCAGCATGGCAGACTGTGACTGGAACTGCCAAACACCTGGTCCTTTTTCCACAGCAGTAGTAGATAATCACACTCACACTGCATCAACACAAACCAATTCTTTTGAAAGCTTATTTATTCCCTTGGGAGAACATTCCTGTATTTGTGTTTGACATGAACAACACGCTCATTTTGGTCACCTTTGCAGGCTGTAAAACATGGACTCGGTCATGCCAACAACCAGCAGAGGGTTTGAAGAAACTCCCAGTCACCATCCACGTGTCTCTGTGTTCCAAAGATAAACAGTAGTAAAAGGACATCAGCTTTTTATGTTTGAAATTTAGGTGCTGAATTTCCTCTTTTATTTGTCAGTGATACTTCATGCCACCCTCACTCTCACGGATATGAAGAAAAAACAGATGCAAATTCTGTTGTCTCATCTGTAGAGTGGAAGGGACCATGGGGAATGTCAAAATAGTTTTATCCCATGACTTTTTTCATATGATGGCAGAGAAACAGCAAGAAGCCACACATCTCCCACCTAACTACTATGTGACCCTCAAGAAGAACTTTTCAATACTATTGCTTTTCAATACTAGCTAGTAGCACTAGTTGAATCATTCAGGTAATTTGGACTTCAGTGTGATGGGCAAGAAACTGTTTACTGCCAAAACAGTCCACATGAAAAAAACCTCTGAAACATCTTGAAGTATAAAGTATAATATTTACCCAAGTAAAAACAGTATCCAGTGATGACAGAAAATGTTAAGGCATCACACTCCTTATAACAACAATAACTAGGAATTACATTAGTCCACGGATTGTACTTCTGAAGGCTTGAAGTAGTTCTGAATGCTTTTGAATGCTTCAAGTTCTCACTTAAAAGCTTTACTCAAGAACAGATATGCTGTGATCAGTCAGCAATAAGTGGGACTCCAACCATATAAACTGGTCAACACTTCCAAAAAACAGTCTCAACTGGTAGAACATGCAGCAGAACTCCTCAGCAACACAAAATACAAAAGTCACCTATCTTACCTCACCCTCAGTTTTTTACACTGCTTTCTCCATTTCAAACCCAACTCAAATCAATTATCTGTATCTCAGAAGTCCACAATGACCACGTCATGGATGAAAAATAGTCTTCTCAAGCCTGAGCAGGAACATTGTGAGATTTACTGTGCTTTTCTTGCACATCCAAGAATACCAGAGCTCACCTGAGAGGGAGACAACTTTCTCCTGAGTTTTCACAGTCAGAATGGGCCGTCCCAAACCACCTCCTACACTGCATGCAAAGAAGGTATCTTGATCCTACATCTCTAACACATAAGTGGCAATCTTGTTTTTGGCAAGAATTCAAATATAAACATAAAGACAGCACCTGGAACATGCTTCCAACCAAGGAAAGAGGGAAGGAAACAAGTGAGAAGCCACATCACAGTCAGGTTGATGAGGGCATTAGAGATAATAAATTATAACAGACCAAGAACTGACAGAACAGATTTAGAAACACAAGACTACACATTCAGTGCCCTGGTAGCAGATGAGGGACTAGAATCTGTGCAATGAAGAATCAGAGGCAATTGAGCCAGTGCCACTGAAAACAAACTGACAGAGTACAGGCCAGAGGAATATAAAGTGGCGTGGACTGAACACTGTCCAAAATGCCAGGCTCCAAGGGTTGTGATCAATGACACATGGGCCAGCTGGGGGGGAATCACCAGTGGTGTGTCCCAGGAGTCAATCCTGAGTTGTTCAGTATCTTTATTAACGACCTGAATGATGGGACTGATGCACCCTCGGCAAGTCTGCAGATGATACAAAGCCTGGAAGAGTGGTTGATGGGTCAGATGGATGTGCTGCTATTCAGAGGGACCTCAATAGGCTGAGGAAATGGACCAACAGCGACCTCATGAAATTCACAGGGAAATGCCAAGTCCTGTCCCTGGGGAGAATCAACCCCATGTACCAGTACAGGCTCTGGACTGCCTGGCTGGAAAGCAGCTTGGCAGAGAAGGACCTGGTGGACAACAAGTTGACAGGAGCCAGCAACACATCCTTGCAGCAAAAGAGGATCAACAGCAGCTGGGGCTGCATTAGGAGGAGCACTGCCACAGGCCAAGGGAGGGATCTCCCCCTCTGCTCCGTACTGGGGAGACCATCTGGAGTGCTTGGTGCTGTCCTGGGTACCCCAATACAAGACAGAAATGAAAATAATGGTGTGAGCCCAAAGGGCCATGAAGATCATAGATGACTAAGGGTCTGGAGTATCTTCATACGAGGCACAGTTGAAAGAGCTGGGACAAAGCTCAGGGAAATCTTATTGATCAGAGTGTGGAAAAGACTGAGTGGTGCCCAATGAAAGCACAAGAGGCAGTGGGATGAATAAACCACACAAGTTCCACTTAAACACATATAAACACCCTCTGTCAGCCAGCCATGACAGCTTTCCAACACAATTAGGGAGTCTCCCACATGCTGCTTTTTGAAGGTTCTCACCCATTTTCAGGGGTAAGGGACTGATTAAATCAACAGAGCTAAGGAAAAAAATATTGACTGGATATCTTTGGGGGAAGGTGGTTATAGCAAGCTTTGTGGGAGCAGTCTGCTCAGCTCTCGGTTTCCAGTGAGATGACAACCTCACTTATGAAATAAAACAGACCCAACACATCAAAGCCAGTCAGCCCAGTCAACAACTACAGACGTTATTCCCCACAGCAAAGATGAAAAGTGTCCTATCTAACCCCAGTGCCTCTGACAAAACAGCTCCCACTGCCAGGCAGCACAGCAACACTGCCTGCACGAGGCATTCAGTCACTGCTGGCACAGGTGGACTCTCCACTTCTCCAAAACTTACACAACTGGCTCTTCTGCCAACCACATCCCAGTGCCAAGGCAGAAGCAAGTCTTCCAACAAGCATGGCCATAACCATAACACCCATCTTCACTGATTTTAAACAAAGAATCTCTTCAGCTACTCAGTGTCTTTCTGAAGTTGGCTATTATAGGTAACTAAGGCCCTCTGAGAACCCTAAAAGAGAAAAACCAATAAATAAATCAAGGAATAGTGTGGAAAATATACCAAAGTTCTAGCATGCCTGTGTCTTCAACAGAAATAACCCATGTCAGAC